CGCGTACTGCCCAGGAGGGCGCTGCGCTGCGGCGCGGGGAGGCAGCAGCCGGTCACCCTGCAGCCCCCGGAGCAGCGGACGGCCACCTCGGACTCCTCGTGCCGGGGTGCTGCGGCCCCTCGAGGCGGAGGTGGGTGGTGCTCAGTGCTGGCGGGACAAGGGGTGCGCCTGTTGTGGAAGATGGGGTCAGAGCTGCACTCGGGGGAACTTCCGCGGCTCCCGGGGAGGCTGGTGCTGGATGTGGGCGGGGCCTTGGGGCGGGGTCTTGCTGGGGGCGGGGCCTGTGGGGGCGGAAGGGCGCTTTTCCTTTGAGGGACTTTGTGCCTGATGCGGTCGGCCTCCAGCGTAGGGCACCTCGCCCTGCGGGCGGCTCCAGGCGGGGGCGGGGCCTGTGGGGGGGCTCCGGGCAGGGGCGGGGCCTGGCCCTGCTCCAGGCAGCCCCTGGTTTCTCAGTCTTGCTGCAGGACGCACCCGCCAGGCGGTCGTGCACCGTTGTTTTTGCCACGCAGTGCGAGCGGGTGATGACTTCGAAATGAACCTTTTACAAAGGCAGAGGGCGGGGACAGGTAGGCTTAAGACCCGAGAGAATCGAGACACCTGTGACTACGAAATGGCACTGACGAGCTCCAGGCTGAGGCGCCACCCCAACCGCGGGCCCCAGGGGACCGCGGCGTCCAGCGGTGCTGCCCGCTGCCCCACCCTGGGCTGGGCTGGAATCTGACAGGAGACTCAGCCGCACCGCTCAGGGCCCTGCCTGAAAACCAGCTCGCAGCCAGCAACAGCCCGGCCCCGCCGGGAGCGGCTCCTCGGAAACCCACTCCCTGCCGGGCGCCCGCGCACCCCCACTTGCCAGCAGTCTCCCCAGGGCGGCGCCTGCGGCCGTGGGGGCGCGCTGCTGTCAGCCTGTTTGCTGCACAGCTCATGCCAGCGTGGGGCACACCAGGTGCCCCCGTCGTGCCACAGCGCGGGCTCTCGGGGTGCAGGCCCGCCGCAGCTCCCGGGTGTGAGAGGTGGACTCACGAGAGGGGGTTCCAGGATAGGGACCCACACTTGGCGCCTCCACAGCCTCTGTCTGCCCGCCTTGAGGGCACTGGCTCCTGCCTGAGCGCGGGGGGTGGGGGGAAGGGTGGGCAGGAACGTCTGCCGTGGCCCCTGGTGCGGTGCCCCAGCCTGGCTGACCGGTGTTACCTTCAGCGCCTGTCCCGCCAGGTGATGTTCCTGGCGTTTTCGGGGCCGCGCCCCCCCCAGTTGGGGCACCGGCTGTGCTCCCCATGCCGTTCTGGGCGGGCGTCAGGCCAGGTGCCCACAGACAGCCCACAGCTCTGTGGCCCCCGGAGTGGGGTCTCAGCTAACAAGGCCAAGGGCAAGTCGCTGTGCTGAACACCCACCAGGGGAGTGACCACCAGGGCAAATCCCAGGAGACGTGGCCGGGGGTGGGTGCTCCTGCTCAGGTTGGGCGTTTCCTTTGGGGTGATGGAAATGTGTGGAGCCAGGCAGCAGCAGCGCCCCCCACACTGTAAGTGCCATGGAGCCCCTCTCTGGAAATGGTGGAGATGCCTACTTTGTGTGGGGCCAGCAGACGGCGGCAAGCAATGCCTGTGTGGTCCAGCAAGAACAGGGCTCAGTTGCCTCTGCTGGGCGGTTCTGTAGGACACCTGTGGCTACAGGGACCAACAGTCAGGCCCCCCACTCTGGGGCCCACAGCAGTTCTGCTGTTAAAGATTTATGTACACACGAGAGCTGGGGTGCAGACTAGAGGCGCGGGGGTGAGAGGACGCCCCGGAGACAGGGTGGGGACCCAGACAGGCGGGTCCCCTGAGACAGCCTGCCGGGCAGTGGCTGTGGCTCAACCCTGGCTCTCGGAGTGGGCTTGGGGATGCGAGTCTGGCCTGCGGTCGAGAAGCCAGGCTGCCGCAGGACGCTGATGCCCACGCTCCACACCTGTGGGCTGGCCCCTCTGGCCAGTCCTGCAGGGCTGGGAGAGCCAGCGAGGACGGGCAAGTGCGGTGCAGAGGCCAGAGAGACCCCAGGTGGCCGGGCTCCAGGGGGGGACGGGGCAGGTGACCCTTGGTCTCTCTCGGGCTCATGAAGGCGCACAAAAGTCGCGACTTCGCTGACTCAGAGAAAACAGCCAATGTGATGGCGCGGGAGCAGACAGGGAGGCGACCCCGTGTCTCGCCTCCTGTGCCAGCTCTGCCGCCGCCAAGCCTCTGTCCCTGGCCACGCCCCAGCATCGCCGGGAACCCACCTTTTGGTCTCATGCCTCCCTGTGGTACGCAAGGGGTTAGGCAGGATCTCGAGGTCCGGCGTAATCGCCGCTGCGTTGCCACCTCGTTTTCAGAGGCCCCTAAGTCCTCCCGGTCTCCCCGCCTCGCAGTGGGAAACTGGTGTCGCCGAAGTGGAAGAATTTCAAGGGCCTGAAGCTGCAGTGGAGAGACAAGATCCGGCTCAACAACGCCATCTGGCGGGCGTGGTACATGCAGTGTGAGTGTGGCCGGAGGCCCGCGGGGTGCCCGGGCATGCTGTCCGGAGGCCACCGGGTCAGTGGCCCCGGGTCACGCTCATCCTCCCTCCCCAGATTTGGAAAAGCGCAAGAACCCCGTGTGCCACTTTGTCACCCCTCTGGATGGCTCAGTGGACGTGGATGAGCACCGCCGCCCAGAGGTGCCTGCTGCGCGTGGCGGACTCTGTGTGGGGCCCCATGGGCCGTCGGAATGGGGGTGCTCTCTGGGTGTAACGGCCGGCCTCAGGCAGGCGCTCCTGGAGAGCAAGAGTCCCCTCTCCTTGGGGGGGCTGGGGGCGGAGCAAGCTACAGCCCGAGGCCCATGCTGTCTTTTGAGTGTGGCCAGGGGGGGTGTCCAGTGGCCTGCGGGTAGGGCTGCCCAGGGAGGGTGCCAGCAGTCAGAGGCCCTCGGGCCGCTGTGGGCCTGGGTGGGACAGGGCGAGGCCGACAGACCCCTGCGGGCCGCGGGTCACCCGCCATCGCCTGCCACCCGCCAGGCCGTGGCCACCGAGGGCAAGTACTGGCGGAGCCGCATCGAGATCGTACTGCGGGAGTACCACAAGTGGAGGGCCTACTTCAAGAAGCGGGTAGGCGCCGGCGGGCGGACCCTGCGGCCTCTGGGCCCACCAGGGCTGGGAAGCGCCGTGTGTGCACCGGATGGGTGGCAGGACAAGGCCCCTCCTGCTGGAAGCAGCCCCACTGACCGCCAGGCCCTTCCCCCACAGCTGCAGCAGCACAGGGATGAGGACCTGTCCAGCCTGGCCCAGGTGAGTGGGCGGCCGGGCCCGCCCCTGCGAGCCCCGGGCAGCCGCAGGACTGAGGCCTACTGGCGTCCTCTTGTGTGGCAGGACGATGACGTGCTTTACTGGCACAAGCATGCGGACGGCTGGAGGAGCCCTGTGCCCATGGAGGAGGACCCGCTGCTGGACACGGACATGCTCATGTCGGAATTCAGCGACACCCTCTTCTCCACGCTGTCATCACACCAGCCCGTAGCTTGGCCCAACCCTCGGGAAATAGGTGACCCAGCCCGGCACGTGCACCCCGCAGCGCCCCCCCCACCCACTCGGCCGCCTGGGTGCTGCTGGTGGCTGCTGTGGGCGCAGGGCAGGCTGCGGCCAGCCCTGGAAACGGGCAGCCTCCCCCCGTGTCCAGTCAGCCCCCCAGCCCCCAGACTGAACCCTAAACCAGCGGAACTCCGCCGCCTGTTACTGCCCTTGCGTGTCTGCTCCCTGCACCCCTTACCCTTTCCTGCCTTCTGAGGGTGGCTGGGACCCACTGGAGGGCAGAAGCCCCAGCCAGCTGCCAGCAGAGCCAGGACGTGGGCAGGCCAGGTGTTGGGGCCGTCTGGGGGCGTGGTAACGCCCTGCCCTGTCCTGACCCCTCACAGCGCACCTGGGGAACGCGGACATGATCCAGCCGGGGCTGATGCCCTTGCAGCCCAACCTGGACTTCATGGACACCTTCGAGCCTTTCCAGGGTGAGGCCCCGTGCGGGTGCCCGCTGGGCCTGGGTCTCCCCCGCCGCCGGCTGGCGGCGGGCTCGCGGCTCGCGATTCCACGCGCGTCCCTGCATTCTGACGGTTTTCCCGAGTGTTGTTCTGGCCAGAGGAGGTGGCCGGGACTGCGGGGCGGGCTCAGCGCGGGGGCGTCGGGCCGGGCCGCACTGGCGCTCAAAGGCCGACACTGTCTTGCAGACCTCTTCTCACCCAGCCGCTCAGGCTTGGGCCCCGTGCTGGCCGCCGCCACCTCAGCGCCTGCGCCGGGTCCCGACAGCCCACCTGCCCAGGTAGTGGAGCGGGCTGCGTGCGCGCCCCGGCCCCCAGAGACCCCAGCGCTGTGGTGCTGGTGCCGAGGCTGTGCAGCTTCCGGGGGGTGGGGCGGGGCCAAGGCCGCAGGCTTGCAGCTGCCCGTTCGCCCTCCGGTTCTGGCAGTTTCACCTCTGAGCGCCTGGTTAGTGGCCTCTGGTGCCGTCCCCCTCCTAGAGGAGGAGGCGCCCGCTGTTGGCCCAGGACCCCAGCGCGGCTGCACCCGGCCGCCTCTGCGCCCCCACTGGAGGTGCAGCGCCCCGGGACGCTGGGCACCAGACATGGGGGACCAAGGCCGAGTGCAGGGGCGCCTGCGGGAAACAGACCCCGCGGGAGCCTGGCCCCCCCCCCCGCCCCGTGGCCGCCGGCTGCGAGGCCCCTGCCCAGGGCCCCTCGGTGGCACCGGCCCTCACCCAGCCCCTTCCCCGCAGGGCGTCCTGGCGCCCCCGGCCCTCCCCGCCGTGAGCCTTCCGGACAGCCTCATCGCTGCCCCTGCAGATGCTTCGCTGGGCCCCGCCCGTCGGCAGGGCTGCGACCCCACCAGGCCGGGGGACCCCTTCCTCCAGCCCACGGACTTCGGTGCCGCTACGGCCCCGCTGGCAAATGCCCCGCCGCTCCCAGCCCTCTTCGCCGTGCCCGTGCTCTGCCCCAGCCCCGCCCCGGCGCCCGCTTCCCCGGCCTTGCCATGGGCCGCACCAGCCTTCCTGCCGCCCCCGAAGCCTGCCGAGCCCAGCAGGCCCCCCTCCGTCATCACCCACACGGCCTCCGCCACCCTCACCCACGACGCTTCAGCCACCACCTTCAGCCAGAGCCCGGCCCTCGTCCTCACCACCCCCACCCCCGCGCCAGCAGGCGGCCCCTGCGGCCTGGCCCTGGCCCCTGCCACCCAGCCAGCGGCGGTGGGGTCCCCCCAGCCCCGTCTCACCTTCGTGCACCCCAAACCTGTGACCTTGAGTGGGGGGAGGCCGAAGCAGCCCCCCAAGATAGTGCCGGCCCCCAAGCCGGAGCCTGTGTCCTTGGTCCTGAAGAATGCTTGCCTCGGCACAGGTGAGGCGGGCCGGCCGCGGGGGACCCAGGCACCGCCACCTGCTCCACCCCGCTGGCGGGATTTGCTGGGGCGGGCGTTGGCCTTCTGAGGGCGTCCTGGGGCAGCCCGGCCCGCGTCTAGACACGCCCCGGAGGGTCCACTGACCCGCCGCCCCCCCGCAGCCACCTTCCCAGGACCGCCGCCCACGGTGATCATGGCGTCCGGGCCTCTCAAGAGGGAAGGGATGCTGGCCGCCGCCGGGCCCCAGCCCAGCGTGGTCATCGCGCCTGCTGCCCTCCCCAGGGTGAGGCGCCTGCAACCCTCGGTGCCTGCCGACCCCTGCGGGCGTGCCGGGCGCCCCGCCAGGACGGTCACCCCCGCTGTCACACAGGCCCCGGCAGCTGCGGACTTCCAGGGTGGCCTCCTGCTGACCGAGCTCTGCCACGGCGGCCAGGCAGCCTCCGGCCCACGGCTCTTCTCCCCAGCGGCGGCGCAGGACGGCCTGGTGAAGGGCGAGCAGGTCCCCACTGCCGCCCCCGGTGAGTGGGGACCCGAGGGCGGGCGGCGGCAGCACCTGGGGGCCCCAAGCCCCTCCTGCGGGCCAGTTTGGAGACCCAAGGCCAGGGAGGGGACGGGCCAGGCCCCAGTGACTGGGGCCCGCAGAGTGGTGTCCTCCCCAAGGCCCCAGGGAGAGCCGTGTCCTCCCGCCGCGGTGGAGCCGTTGCAGGCCACGGGCGGCCAGTCGCGTGTGCTGGGCAGGGCCGCCGCATGCGGGCAGCAGGAGGAGCCGGGCAGGGCCAGCCTGCATTCGGAGGGAGGGGGCTTGTAGGCCGGTGGAACCGCTGGGGGGAGTCAGGGGGGAAAGGGCTGCTAAAGCTCAAGGGAGGTGCAGGGTGAGCACGCCCCAGAGACAGGTGGGGCAGGGGGCCGGCGGGCCCCTGATACCCACCGCTGAGGGGCAGCGCGACATGGCCTGTAGCACCGTGGTCACTCCCAGCCACTGGGACTGAGCTCGCACTGGGCCGGGCCGCCCGTACTGGCCACGGGAGCCCCGTGTAGTGTGCGGGGGGGCAAAAACACAGCGGGTCCCCAGGCGTTGGCACTAAGGCCGAGAAGCAGAGACCCCCTGGCTCCAGCCTCTTGGGCCCAGCTGGCCCAGGGCTGTGGTTCGTCCAGGCTGCTCTGGGCGGCCCTGGGGGCAGAGGTGGGTTTCGGCGCTCAACCCCGCTGCCTGGCCAGCGCCGCCCATTGCCCCTGAGGGGCTCTGCGGTCCACAGGCCGTGACGCACCGAGCTCGGGGCAGGCATCACCGTGCGCCTCGGAGCAGAGCCCAAGTCCGCAGTCCCCCCCGAACAGCCGCTCAGGGAAACCCGCGGACCCCAAGAGCGCGGCGGTCCTGAAGGTACTGGCTCCTCGCGTCGGCCTGGGGGCGCCGGGCGGGAGGCAGCGCCGCAGCCAGCACCAACCCTGCGGCTCTGCCCGCGGCCCGCAGACGCGGCAGCTGAAGCACATCTCGGCTGAGCAGAAGCGGCGTTTCAACATCAAGATGGGTTTCGACACGCTCAACAGGCTGATCGCTAACCGCGCCAAGCTGGTGGGCCAGGGCGCCGGGCTTGGGGCGGTGGGGGCGGGGTGTGGGGGGCGGGGCGGGACCTCAGTGACGCCGCCCATGCCCGCAGACCAGCCACGCGGCCACGCTGCAGAGGGCCGTCGAGCACATCTCCAAGCTGCAGCAGGAGCGCGCCCAGATGCAGGAGGAGGGCCGTCGGCTGCGGGAGGAGATCGAGGAGCTTAACGCCACCATCCTGTGAGGCGGCGGCGGCGG